TTGAAATTCTGAATATGACCGGACTTCTCCTTTAAACAAGAAATATTGCATTTATGCTAATTAGTTAAGAGTCAGCATTAAACACCACTTGTAGCTTGCAATATTTGGGTAGTGAGTTTGTATTAGATATAATCAACAGTGGAATATATTGTGCTGTTAGGTTAGAGAAACATGTTAACTGAAGGATCAACATATTTGCACACAGATTGCTTCTTTTTCCTCTAGGCTGCAGAATTTGGTGCAGACACTGACACTTATTTTTTTTTAAAAACTGCTACATTTTTATTAAAACTTTTTTTTCTTGATAGTAGGAACAGGAGTAGAGGTCCTCCTCATAGGAGAGGTCAAGGCTACGGTCCTCCTCCAAGGTGGGTGCCACTCAGAAAATATACGTTTGTTCGTTATAGCGAGTAGCAGAGTTTACAGATATTTACTTAATAGAGCTGTTTTTTTCTTTTTCTTTGCACCTGAGGTGAAGAGGTTTGGCTTTCAGTTTCCCCCTATTTATATAATAAATAAATAGGGCAGTAAATGTATATAATAACAGCTTTAAGAAACTTTTTACCATGTTATTGCTTTGTAAGCACAAGTTTTAAAACGTTTCAGTTGGATTTAACATTATAGAACAAGAGCAACCGTATTGTGAAGTGAAATGAGTATCTAAATGATTTTTAATAAATGCTCAAGAAATGGATATATGAAAGGAGAGATAATTTATTATTTAACTTTACTGGTCTGATTGAAAGTTAGAAATTTGTGGAAAGAAATCGTGCAAGAAATTAAATCTTATAATTTCTATGCCTTTTTTCATCACACTAGGGGAACATAATCGGTTAAAAGGACATTTATCAGCTTTATAATCCACAAAAAATTGTCTCCATAGAAAAGTGGTACAAGCTAATCTTTTGTTAACAAAAAGCCCAAAACGTCCTGTTTGCAATTTGCCACAGGCCTCATGGGAGACACAGCAAACATGGCAAAGTTTGTTCAGATCTGATGAAACCATAAAGTTGACTTTTTGGTCCAGATGTAAAATAATATTTGGGGAGGGAAAGTCCATTTCCCTCTGAACACATTGAAATGTGGTGACAGCATCATGCTTAGGGGATTCCATTCCTCAGCATGGACAGGAAAGATGGAAGGAGCTAAACAAAAAACATCATGAAGGCTGTTAGAAACTAAAGTTAACAGATCCTTAATATATTGCTAGAGATACAGATGAAAATATTCAATTAAAACAGTCTAGTCAAAGGCCAGATTGATATTCACTAATTGCAATCATCTAAGACTAAAGGTGTGCAATTTTAAATAAGGCAAGATGATATTTAATTACGGGTTTTAGTAAATTAGCATGCTAGTTAAAAGCACTGCAGTGCTTTATCCTTTGGTTAATTGAAATCAGGGTTCCCGCGGGTCCTTAAAAAGTCTTAAAAGGCATTGAATTCTTCAAAATAAAACTAAGGCCTTAATTGGTATTAAAATGTCTTAAATCAGTCTTTCGTAGGTCTTAATTTTTAAAGCATCATAAATAGGATTATTTTTATTACGATTTATTTTTGTAATCTAAATAAAACGTTAAAATTGACAATTTTTTTTTTATATATATAAAAAAAATAAAAATAACGGCTCGCCATTATTGGTTCCATCCCGATAGCGGAACCAATAAAAGCGTTGTTGCGGCCGGGACATTTGGGAGATGCGCCATTAACTTTTTGTCTGGAAAATATGAGCAAGTGTAAATGTAACCAAAATTGTCTCCAGCCAAGAGTTTTCTCCATGGCTAAAACCAGGGAACGTACATGAGGCTCAGTGGATTTATGCAAGAAGTGATTCAAGCTCGGAATGATGGGAATTAA